CCAGGTCTTTCCCTATTGCCTCCCCGCATTTTTGAGGATCAAGCTAAAAACAAGGTGCTTGCGCTTGGCCCAGAGAGACCATCATCGAAACTCCGCATTCCTAAATATTTGTTCTTTGAAATGTCTTTCTCAATTAGATCTCATCCAAATGTTTGAGAGTCAGGCTGAATTCCAACTTCCTGCTCCAGAACAGACATGTTGAGCCTGCATAATTACTGCAGCCAGCTTTATTTGCTATAAAAACATGGATTTTTTGCTCCTTCTCAACTGTAAAATAATCAATAAATAGAATCCAGATGAAGAATGCTAGCATTTAGGAGAACAACTCTTTTATGGTTCTTTTCTTTTGGGTCTAATTAATGCATTGGGAATAAAGTGTTCTGTTACATTCACCCAACCAGCTAAGTTGGAACACAAACTCCCCTTTCCTCCTGCTGAGATACAGCTTAAGGTCAGAAATATAGGTGAAACAGACAGGTTTCAAACCAAGGTTACATGTTCAACAAACAGATCCGTAAACATGTGATGTGGATGGACTACCTCCAACCTCTCTGTTCACAATGGCTGTTCAATTTCCTTCTCTCTCCCTAAGAACACATTGCATAGTTACTGTCAAATGAAACACAGATAGTCCCATTAGCAAGAGAAACAATCTCTCTGACTTTTCTTTAGTTTAAACAAAGAAGACATGCCTTTTTGGACAATGACCACCCAGGCCATGAAAGTTTCATAAGGGGCTCTCAGAGTGGATGACACCTTTTTAATTATAACACTGCCATAATAAACCCCCACAGAGCCACAGGGCATGGAGTCTATATCCAACACACGACACCTATTTATTCCCTAATTATATTGCAATATATTCTCCCTTTGTGTGCTGATGAAGATAAAATATTCTTTTAATTCTATGGCCTCCTGGGGGGTAAGGGGGAGGGTAATACACATAAGCAAGTTCTGGGAGTTTCTGGATCAAAATCACAGCCTTTGTTCCAGCTCCCCCACTGCATAAATTTCAAGAAAATAACTCATTTTTCCTGGTTCCACCACAGTGGTTCTCTAAGTGTGGTCCCTAGACCAAGAGCATCAGCATCACCTGGGGACTTATTAAGACGTGCAAATTACTGGGCCCACTTTAGACCCACTGAATCAGAAACCTTGAGGGTGGATCCCAGCAATCTGTGTTTTAACAAGCCTTCTACACTGAGTCTGAGAACTACTGGCCTACCAAATAGAAAGAAAAGAGCATCATTTTAATGTGAATAAGAGATCAGAGATACCTGGACTCTGTAGGGGCTGGGCTCCTCTTTCTGCACAGCTATCCCAATTTGCAGAGTCAGGGTTCCATTTACTCATCTGTACAATGGGGCTACAGAATTTGCCAATAGCTGTGGATGCTGGCATTTAAAAGGCACATGGTTACCTGGCACTAGTCTCTATGGATACCTCCCAAGACCACAGTTGCCAACATTCCCCCAGCTCCCTCCTGTCATGCCCTGGCTGGCGACTGCAGGAGCTCTGCAGAGCAGCTGTCCACTGCCATATCTGAGTTCACTGATGCAGCTGCCTCTGGGTTACCCTTGGCAACCAGGAGCTGGGGTCATAGAAGCCCACAGAATCCCCGAATCTCCAAATCTCATACCCAACAACTTCAAGTCTTTTCACCTTGAAGACTTGAACTGCTAGAGGGGATATTTAGGATTCTCTGTGTTATATTGCTCCACTTCATCACTTCTTCAAATATTTTTAGTGAATTTGCTTCCACTCTGCAACTAGACTTTAAGCCTGCAGAGGACTAAAGCCTAGAATGTCATCATCATGAGACATGGGACTCTGACCATCCAGTTTACTGCTATATCCCAAGACCAGTGCCTAGTACAAAGCAGGAGCTCAAGAATTGTTTGTTTACTAAATATTCCTATTGCAGGAGGCATCCTGACCATAGTAGATCCAAAACACTCAAGTATTTAAATTCTAAAAGTTATGGTTGGGAAGGGACAAAGAAACTACAGTTGGCCCTTAAACACAGGTTTGAACTGTATGGGTCCACTTACACTTGGATTTTTTTCAATCAATATACAATCTGCCTGCCGTACCCATAAGTTTGGCATCCATGGATTCGAGTATTTTCTATCCATGGTGGGGAATCTGCAGATGCAGAAGGATGACTCTATACACTGTTCTATGCCATTTTATATAAGGGACTTGAGCTACCACAGATTTGGGAACAACTGACTTTTGGGGGAGTCCAAAGTTATATGGAGATTTTTGACTGGAAGGTGGCATTCCTAACTGCTGCCCCTTCCCAAGTTGTTCAAGGGTCAACTGTATTTGAAACTCTGGAAAGATGAGGAAGGGGAATAGGAGAAGCAAAAGCCTGAATATTTCCCAGAGGTCAGCCACAACCCTTGGCTCATGGAATGCTGACTTCCCAACCAATTGCTCACGCTAGATATAGAACTAGAAGACCTCTGGGTCCCAGGTTTTGAGCTTCAGTTCAGAGAAGCGGGGTCTTCTAGCTGCCCTAGGGATTCTAACTCAAAGGCCCTGGGCTGACCCTGCTGTCCTTTGACCATCAACTTAATCTGTGAGCTTTCCTGTATGTCTCCTACTACTCAAGCCTTGTACTCCATATTACTCCTCCCCCCAGCTGGAAATCTGCCCAAGGCTTAATTCCAAACCCTCCCTTCACCAGGGACTATTCCCTAATTCTTCCCCCTCCAAAATCAATTTCACCTGAGAGGCCTAGACTGGCTTCCTTTGCTACAAAATAATGGCTGCTCTTTCCCTGTGAACTGCACTTTATTGGGGGGCATCTAAGGACTCCCTTTACCGCTAGACTAGGTGCACAACAAACTGTCACCTAAGTGATTTATCCTGGGAGATGATAACATGGGACCTATTAAGAATCCAAAGACCAGTCTTCTGACTAACCTCACACACGACCAGCCCTCAAGGACTTGCTGTGGCCTGACTGGGAACAACTTGTCCTGTGCTAAGAACGTGGTAACGGCAGCATAGAGTACTAGAAAAAGCCCTGAACTAAGAATAAGGAGACCTACCTGGTTTACAGTTCCCTCCCACCCTTAACTCTAACGGAGTCCTTTCACTTCTCTAGGCCTTGGTTTGCTGATCTGTGTAGCGGTAGGCAGTGGTATGGTGAATAAGAAGGAGACCTACCTGGTTAAGTTCTCCCTAACTCTAACGGAGTCCTTTCACTTCTCTAGGCCTTGGTTTGCTGATCTGTGAGATAGGAGGAAGGAGTGGAGACTGCAGTGGCTCCTTGGATTTCCAGTGGCTCAAACAACACATGAGCAACCGAGAGACCCGGTGCGTGGTGTGCACCACGGAAAATCCACCAAACAAGCTTGAGGATGGAGTGCTCCTGGGTTGTCAGTTCATTGCCCTGGGAGGTGGGGGCCAACCTGCAAGGAAGGACAGCTGAGGAACCCTCTCCGCAAAGCCCTCAGCTTTCGGCCGTACTAAACCTGTTCTAAACCTTTCAACAGAATCTATTCAACAGCACTCCTACAAAGCGGGCTGCGAGACCGGGGCCCCGCTGGCTCCGAGGAAGCCGCAACTGGCGGCGAATCTGGCCTCCGGGACTCCGGGAACGAGAGGACCCGTGCCCCCAGCAGCTCCGACTGCCGAGGCCAGCCTCCGCACGCAGCCACCTGGTCCGGGCATTTAACCCCTATTTTCCAGGCAGAGCGCGGGAGGAGCGCTGATGCCCGGGCATGAGTCGCCTTGCCAGAGCGAGCTGAGAAGACCGGGAGCCCAGACCACCCAAACGCTTCCTCCAGCCGGCCGTGGCCGTGCTCTCTGCGTTCCCTGGGGGACAGTGGAGGATACGGAAGCCGAGCCACTTTGAAATATTTTTCTAGAGAACATGACCACGCGGGAGGGAGTCAGACCGGCCTCGCAGCGCGGGCTAGCGGGGACAGATCCCGAAAAGAGGCTATCGTAGGATGGAGCCGGGAGTCCAGGTCTGGAAGAAAGCAGCCAGGGCTCAGGAGCTCCGGGAATGGTCAAACCGAGGCTACGCGCTCCCTGGTTTCGGACGGGTGAAGGCTTCGTCCGACTCACGGACCTCGACGCCAGTAAGGAACGATTTTGCATATTTTAAGTAGTATTTTTTTTTTCTAACAAATTAAGAAAATAAACCAAGCCTAGGAGGAAGGCGGCTGCGCTCTGCGGCTCCAAGGGGCTGCAACTATCGCCCATTTCCCCACCTCCAACACTACAGCCAACGGCTGTGCGAGAAGTTGGGAACTTCCGGACCGCGCTCCAGGCGCGCACTGGGAGCGACTTGCTTCTCAGAACTTGAGGAGCAAGGGTCGCAGCCCATGGCACGAGGGGCGTCCGGGGTGTCAACCCAAATGTCGGGCGTTCCAGACTTCCCCGAAGAGAGTCGGGGCGACCAGGAAAGAAACGAAGGAGGTATACGTTCCGTTTAGTGCCTCCAAAAAGCAAAAGCGCGCATGGCACCGGCTTGGGCTTGGCGGCTGCGAGGCGCGCCACTGGCGAAGGCGGGGACCTGACCGCGCCCCACAGGCTCTGAGCCCGGACCCAGGCAGGGAGGGCGCCGGATGCACTGCGTTCAGCGGGCGCGTCCGAAGGGCGGCTCGGAGGTGGGAGCCCCGGACTCTGAGGGGCGGTTAGGCGCCCTCCCTGGGACAACCACGCTGCGCCGCTGAGCTCAGGTCTTCCCCCGCCGCGGGCGCAGCGTCCGGACTGCAGCCGGAGGGCAGGCGCGTGCTTACTTCAGGGCCACCCCCGAACATCCTGCCCGGACCCCCGGCATTCTCCAAATCCCGGCATTCACGCTCCTCCCCGTGCCAAGCTCGGCTTCCGCAGCCCGGACCCGGGCAAGGCAACGGGGATCCGCGGAGCGGGTGGAAAGTTAGTCGCAAGACTGCAGAGCCCCCTCCCCGACCCTCGTCCCCCTGTGTCTCCGGCAGTCCGAAGCCCCGCGTCCTCTCAGTCCCCGCCCAACCACCTACCTGCCTCCGCGGCCGGCCCGGGGCTCGGCCGGCCAGTCGCTCAGTCCGGTCCTCCGGAGCCCGAGCCACGCCAGAGCGCCGGGCCAGAAGCCGGAGCTGCCAGCAGCCCAGAGCCGCGCGGCGGGCGGCGGGCACCGCGAGCGAGTGCGCGAGCCGGCGGGCTGCCGGAGCTGCGCCGCTGCTGCCGAGCCCGCCCCCGCCCTTTCGTCCCTCGGCCCCTCCCTCGCTCCTTCCCCACCAGCCAGCCGCCCTCCTCCCTGCTCGCGGCTCCCTCCCTCCGTTCTCCCCTACTCTCCTTTTTTTCTCTCTCTTTCTCCCCCTTCGGTCCTTTCAGACCCTGCTCGCTTGCTCGCTCTTTTTCCCATCTTTTAGTCTCTCTCTCCAGCTTCCCTTGGGTTCTTTTTTTCTCTGATACAACCTTTTCCAGCATTTCTTCTCACCCCCCCCCCCACTTGCGTTCTTCGCTCGTTTCCCTCGGTCCCTCTTTTCTCTCTCTACCCTGTATCCCTGTTTGCTATTTTCTCCTCCTCTTAACCTTTTCAGGTCTCTACTCTCCTTTCTCATCCCTACGCCTCCTGTCCCTCCGGGTGGGTCAGGATGGCCTGTGCACCGCCTCCTTCGAGATGCTCCGAATAGGGAGATTCCCCGGGGGTCGAGCGAGGCCCCGGGAGCCTCCAGTTATGCTGGTCACAGGCTGAGGACCGAGAGGGACAAGCCAGGGCTGGAGGCTGGGACCCCAGACGAGGGTTTGGAAAACATCTGGACGGGAAAAGGGGTAGCAGACAAAGAATCCAGGATATCAGGCCCCTAGGCATGCCAGGCTGAACCGCGCCTGGGAAGATTAGGAAACTGAGGCCCAGAGAGGAGAGAGCACAGGACTTACCTTGCCTAGGTCAACTCAAGAGTCAGGGCCTAGTCCACCGCTGCTCCCAGCAGCTGGGACGGGGCTCCTCTACTGACTCCAGACCTAGGAGGGTGCCAAGGGCGGATTCAGTCCTTCCAGCCTCTCTGCTTGCAGCAAGCCCCCGAGCTCCAGCTCCCAAAGCGCAGTGCCACAGGGAGCAGCTTGGGCCTCCTCACTGCTCCACAACCCTCCTGGGGAGCGTAACTGGGGTGAAGGGGAGGGCCTGACTCCGATGTGCCTCAAGAAACACTTCTCCCCACCTGGACCCCTCTCCAGGAAATGTGGGACTTACCGTCATGCTCCTGCTTATCAGGGATGGAAAGGCAGCAGCAGGGTACTTTGCTTGCGTGGTTCCCTCCTTTTCTCCTTGAACTACAACAAGAGCAGGAAGGCCCAGACTTGAGAAAAGGTGCTCTACACATCTCAGGGAGGATTTTTTTTTTTTTTTTTTTAAAGAATAAAGCACACATCTGAGGCTTTCACAAAATGTGAGTCTGTACATGTGTCTGAACCTGGAGCCCCCCCTGCTTCAACCATTGATCATGGACTTCATTCTGATCAGGGAAGTCCCACCCCTAAAAGATTTTCTCCATTTCAGCCCAGTGATTTCCAGAGGAGAGATGGAGAATTCCAGTTTTCATGGACCCCATTCTACCACCCTGCTTTTTCAAGACACGATCATGATTCTCCTAGTTTTGTGCCTAATTGCTGGGACCATATTTTTGTCCCCCTTCAGGACTGTCCCCTCCATGGTAGCAACCAGAACCACTCTCCATTCAGCCCCTAGGTAGTAACCTAGTTGGGATATTGATAAAACTCCACACAAATATCCTATCAGTTTCCTGTCTTCCGACATCAAATCAAATCAACCCATGCCTGCGCCAAGGTGGTCACGCCACAAAATCAGAAGAAGCATATGGCCGGGGCTGGGACTAGGGCGAGTCAAGTGAGGCACCTATGACACAAAATTTAAGGAAGCAGTCACCCTCAGGGCTGTGCACGTGCAGGTTTGGCATCTGAGGGTCTCAAATGCTGCATCTTAGGCGCTTCCTGCTTCACCCTAATCCTGGCCCTGCTGTCAAACCTTAGGGCTGTCACTCACCAGCTGTATGACCCTGGTCCATCACGGCAATTCTCTGGCCTTCCTTTTCCCCACCTGACACTGAAGAGGCTGAAATAGATGTTTTCTAAGCATTTCTCCAGCTCAGAGGTTCTGCAGTTTGTGGGGATCACAGATGCCAAAGGCTAAGAGAATGGACTCTCATCTTCCGGGTGTGTGTTCCTGCTCTGCCAGTTACTATGACACTTAGACCCTCTCTGACCTCAGTTTCTGTACAGTAAGATGGGAATGATAACACTACTACTAGCCCTGAGAAGAATAAGCCAAATAATGCATACAATGGCATTTGACTGTTGGCAATTAATATTACATAAGAAAGGTTTTTGCATTTCTTTATCTTCACATTCCCTTTTGGATCATGAGTTACAGCTCCCACACACACCACCCCCCTCACCTCTTTATGGTAGCTGTCCATTTATAACTCTCAAACCTTAGTTCTAACAGGTTTGGGGAGGTGGGCAGGTCTTCCTGGAAAACCATTCCACTCCATCGTGAGGAGCAAATGCACAGGGAGCCACCGACTCCCCCAACCCTCTCTCATGCACTGAGGGGTGCTGGCCCCCTCCACGCTGGGCTAGGGATTGCCTGGTTTTCTGCCATACTCTAAAATGCCACACAATCCATAAAGCTGCACCTTCTCTACCCATATGGCAGACCTCCAAGGACTCATGTCCCAACAGAGCCAGGAACACTTTTAGCAAATGTTTCTGAGGGTCGGCTCGGGGTCACACTGGAGCCTGTGATCCATCATTCATTTCCCAGTCCCTAAGAGCCTGCTTATGAAAGGCACTGTTTTGCACATCCTGTTGCTGTCTATATGTTCAACCCAGCCGCAACAAGTTTATTTTAGAAGTTATGACAATGACTAAAACCCCACTGCTCATCTAAATGCGTTATCTGAGACAAAAGTCCACTATTCTGAGCTGTAAGCCTTGTTCTCAAAAAACTTACACTCTAACTGGGGTAAAAAGACAGTAAAACAGATGAGCTGAACAAGGCGATTGAGAGCAGGAGCCCTGGAAGCAGATGCCTGAGGTCAAACCCTGGCTCTGTCACTTAGCTATGTGAGCACAAGTGTGTCCATCTCTCTATGCCTCAGTGTTCTCATCTGCAAAATGGGAATGATAGTGAGATAAACACTGCTATTATTTCCATCTTATAGAGGAGGAAGCTGAAGCTCAGAGAGAACTGCCTGGCTCAAGGTCACTCAGAAAGTAAACGGAGCCCAAGCATAATTTACTTTATAGCCTTTGCTCCTTCCTCTGCCTTCTCCCTTCAGCCTCTCTGATCCTTCTCTCCACAGAGACCCCAAGTGTCTCTTCTCCAGTGAAATGGCATCTGAAACTCAGTTCCACTTCTATCCCCTCTATACACTTCAGTCTGGACAGGGGTGGGAGATGAGGAGGCCAGAACTCTGGTGACCAAGGTGGGAGGACTTCTTCCCTCTTAGAAATAAATTATCAGAAGGCTAGGACACTAGGCAGGCTGTCCAGGGCTCAGACCATGGCAGCCCACACATTCCTTCGCTCACATGCACAGGATGTTCCCTTTGTTTTCCTTCCCTCACGCTCCTGTCTTTGTTGGGGATCACCTTTCCCCTCCCTCTTCCTGTGGAGCTCTGGCTCAAGCCCCAGGGACAAACTTGCAGCACACACCAGGGATGACTGGAATCTGCTGAGTGATGGGAAGATTTCAGAACGTATAGGATCCTTTAAACTCCTCAAGTGAAACCTGACAAATGAAAGTGCCTGAGAAAATCTCTGTCTTCCCATCAGAGTGTAAAGTATACACTTGGGGTCTTATTTACCTTCATGTATATTAGAGAACCTTTCATAGGGCCTTGCTACAAGAATAAATGTATACAATTTATTAATAAGGCATACACATGGTTTCATTTAAACCTCCCAACAATTCTACACAGCAGGCATTGCTATCCCCTTTTCACAGAGGGGGGTACCGGGGGTCTAAGAGAATAAATTACCCAAGGCCACAGAGTGACAGAACCCTGTTCAGAGCGCCTTCCTTTATGCTACAGTGTCTTGCATTGCAGGGCTGAACTAGGGTAAAGTAAGCAAAGGGCCTGGGGCCAAAACTTAAGAAAGCACTCACTCTCTGGTGCTAGCTATACTTGGACAACCCTGAGAAAAAAACAACCACTGAATACTCTCCCCTGCAAAATTATAGGGGACTGTGGGATCCCTGTGTTCTAGCCATTGACAAAGTATAGAGAAGAAACCATTGAGCAGCCAGGATCTAACGTAACTGCTCACATAGCACGCACTGACAGAGTACGCCCCAACACAGCCTCAAGCATCTCCTCACACCACAATTCGGCCCAGTGTACAAATTACTAAGAGATAACAACCCAACACAACTACGTATTACACACACCAACAGAACCCCCAATGCCTACATATGCATATAATACAATTCCTGCACTTACTTAAAAATGGGAGGGAAGTGGATGATCATAATAAAACCCAAGTAACATGACTCTTCAAAAGCTTTTTTTTGAATCCACAACCACCAATCGAAGTCTTGATTAACTTGGTTGTACTTATTAAATTGTGTTCAATATTTAATAACTTTGAATATAGATTGAATATTTAATGAGATCTATTTACATATAAACATCAAAAGTGCCTATGGCTTTGAATTGAGAATTGCATTTGTGACTCATTCTTGGGAGCTAGTGCTGGAGATCTCTCCATTCTACATTTTCACAGATTTATTTAAATTATAGGTTATCACCATGACATTATTACTCTATCATTTGTTATGATGCTCCATTATTATAACAGATTAGCACACAGTCCCAGGAAACATGGCATTTGGACACTGAATTTCCTTGCATCCAGGCAAATCTGGACTGGGTCTTTTGTTCTCTTTCCTCCATATTTACCAGGGAAAGGCACCAAATATGACACAGTGAAATGCATCTTGTCTTAAGCCCTTAGTCCTCCCACAGGCACAAGATGATCTGGAAGCAATTTATGTGGTATACTTTGTTTAAGACCAATTTTTCCGAGAGAAGCAACTCTTTTTTGCGGACTAGTGACAAGCAGCATGAATTTTTGACTCTTTTTTAC